TCAGCTGTAGAGTCAGACCTGGCGCAAGCGGCCAAAGCAGCAGCAAAGGACAGCACGAGACCGAACAAGACACCGCAGAAACGACCGACCAGAGCCTACTCGACGGCACTTAGAATCGCTTTACAGAGCGTGCGACAGAAGTACGGAGCTTTACCCAACAACGTAGGAGCACATTTGATTTGATTTGATTGATTCCTACTAGGTTTTGGCCGCTTTAGTCAGCAGCTATGCCCGGAAAGCAAGGTTTGGCCAATAGCCGACGCGTCCACGACAAGTCGCGACGCCCCACTTCGCCCTGCTGTTAAATCAAGGCCAGCTGTCTCCAAATTCCTCGCTGCACTGCCTATCCTCTATGTTGATTCTCTCTGTTGAAGACTCTCCTCCTGCTATATTGCTTTTCTCTCATCACGATTACTTTCCTCGTCTCTGGATACCCTCTTTCGCGTCTTTATGCTTCGGCTCTGTTAGTGTTTACTACTATGTCTAGTTCAGCGTACCTACAGTCTCCCCCCAGCGCTCGGCTTCGCTTGTTTCTCTTATCCGCATCCTCTCAGATTCGCATGTGCTATATCTCAGTCGAACTGCAAATGTTTTTGCTACTTCCTGCCGGGTTCCTATGTGGCTCTATGTTTCCATCTTTCGACCACCACCGCCGTCCGCCGCCTAGGGTCGGTCTCGATCCGCGAAACACAATGCTTCAATCGCGTCGATTCGTCCGATTACTAAGTATGAGAGCTCGTGCACAGATTCCGCAGACATTGTCGGACGTTGAAGGGACGACACTCCTTCTTCGCATAGGGGGGGAGGGGGGCGACAGGTGACCAAGCTGTCTGTAATCTGTAGTATTTTGCGGCACCGATCGTAGCATGCCTGATGTCTGGTGCTTCCTCTGTGCAGGAGGTGATACCTTTCTGTCGGGCTCGTCGTCATTACTGTCGCGGGACGTTGCAAACTTTGTCGGGGGTGATAGGCGACCCATAACCTATCGGTGGCTGTAGTGTTGATGTGTTTGGGCGCGGTCTTTGTGCTCCTCGTGATAACCCGCGACCCGCTAGCGGAGGTGGCGATGGTGTTGTCTCTTGACACGTCGTGCTTTGTGGCTTGCTCTCGAATTTTTCGTGGTCAGAGCCCGCTCGCGGCCACGAGCAGGCCCTTTGGATGCAAGGATCAATGCCGAGGATGACATTGTGCCCAAAGTGACCTCTGCAGACGCGAGCGGGCGTGGTTCGATCAATTTGGTGCTGGTTTCAAAAATTTCGTTCTCGCTTTTATTAGTGTTTTAACGTAGGAGCACATTCAAAGAAGATCGACGTCGCTTTACCAGGAAGGCATACACGTGACCTATATGACGAGCTCTCTTGGAAAGAAGCCAGTATCCTGGCACAACTGCGCACCGGCATGGCAAGACTGAATTGGTACCTGCATCAGATCGGTGCAATTGCCTCGGCGCAATGCGCCTGCGGGCAAGCGGCAGAATCGGTCGAGCATTTTCTCTTCCGTTGCACACAGTGGACGGCACAACGAACCCAGATGCTTCAACAGACGGAGTTGCATAGAGGGAATCTGTCGTACTTTCTCGGAGGAAAGAGCGCGTCCGATCCTGATGACTGGTCGCCAAACGTAGATGTTGTCAAAGAAACCATCAAGTTTGCTTTGGGTACAGAGAGACTGGATGCATAGATCAACCAGCAGCGAAACCACACACCACCTACATCAACACACTAACCGACGACAACCCCCACGCACCCTCGTGCCATCGACAGCAGGACTGGCTTCGGCCGCCGACGATAGGACGCCGAACACTGTAAGAAATAACCTCAAGATGGCCTATTACTAATACCACGAGCAACCGCAGCATTGGCAAGGAATCTTGAAGGTTATGCATATGTGGATAGACTGTACTCGTATGGGCTTCTGGGAGACAAGGATATAAACGAAGGTGGAGATCATGTAGATAATCACACGAGCCCTGAATAGCTTAGCCGGGGCGTAATAAACTATGTATGTATGTATGTATGCCAACCATAATCTAGCGTTCAAGCTTGTCTATCAAAGTCCCCAAGAATTATCCAAACCACCATCACCATTGTCCTCATACCGTTCCATGCGCGTCCTCGTGCCGTCCAAACTTGTCCTCAGGCCGCCCGAGCCTGGCAATTTTTGGAGTAGAATTATAGCTGACTCTACCAAGAGCAAGGCTAGCCATCGAGTGGCAAGTCACGTCATCGGTCTAATCAGACATGGCTGGTCTGGGCAGCCCGGAGCCGGATTGTAGGTACCCAGAAACAAATATGATAGGGGAGACACGAGCGAGAGATTTCCAAGGCAAGAAGAGCAAAATCAGTGAAGAGTGGACGCAGCAGAAATAGGCCCTCCAACAGAAAAGGAACATGCAGGATAGGCAGTCTAGCGAGGAATCTGGGAACAAGCTAGTTTTGATTCAACAGCAGGGCGAAGTGAGGCGCCGGGACTCGTTGCCAACCTGTCGGCTGTTAGCCAACCGTTGCTTTCCGGGCTTCGCTGCTAGCAAAGGCGTCTGGAACCGAGTAGGACAAATCGAATCAAGAAGCATCGGCGGCGGCCGAGCCCGCCACGGCCGCCTACGCTCGAGTTGCAGAAGGACCTGAGTAATGTAAGAAAAACCCGCACGCATAAACGTCGATTCCGTCGCCGTGACAGAGCCTCCTTGTTGACGTCAGGCTGGCTTCCCGTGAGGCTAGGCCGAAGTGGCTGTGCCTCGACGTCGCGGCGGCGCTTGGCCCTTGAGGTGGAGGTCGCCACCGGAGGCAACCCGGAACCACGTTGAAGGTCAGCCGGGTTGGCCGGCATCAGTTCGGAGCCTGGCGGTGGCTGCTATGAGGCTATCGCAGATGGGCTCTGGCGAGAAGAGATGAAGAGTTCTCAGCTTTTGAGGAATTACTGAGGGGCTTGCCTGTGCACTAATAGTAAATGCTACGGGAATCACTTGAAAGGGTAGAGCTCTCCATATGACCAAGTACGTCAACTTTTCTTACGCAAGCGGAATAGATGGGGCCATCAATACCAATCCAATCCTTTATGCTTAGACTGGAACTCCTGCTGAGAGGTCTTTTGTGCGACCATGCATTCACCAAGCACAATCAATCTTCTCGTCTTGGACTTTCTTTGCCTCGTCATCTTGCATTCTCTTGCTATCATGAGCAGTACTCATTCCGCGGCCGTCTAGGCTGCTGTCTCCCTGAACTTAGTCGTGGCATCTTTAGTAGTCAGGGTCGCATTGCGCTGTCTCTCTCGGTCTGTCTATTCTCTTGCGCAACGCTCGATAGCACCCGGTCCTTGCACCTGGTTTTAGCACCTGGTTCTGGCACCTGTTTCTGGCGGTTCTAGCACCTGTTTCTAGCAAATGGTTCTAGCACCTGGTTCTTGCACCTGGTGAAGGTGTGACCTTATGCTTGGCCATCATTTGCTGAACGCTCTTTTCAATCCGTACTGGCTCATCTTTGTTGCCGGTAATGATACTGCATGTTCATCCCCCCTATCTAGAAGACTTCCCTTGATGTAAGCCCTGTCAATCAGCATTCATCATTAGGAAAGTCGACGTATGGTAGTCAATCGGGTTGTCATTCATGACTTGCCTGTACGGGTGCCCGCGCATCGAAGTTCACAACATAAACTACATTTGATTGGAAACCTCGATACCTTCAGTTTTCCCTGCAGAATCTTATGCCCTGTGGCATGGGATTAAGACACAGTGCCATGAATCTTCATGGCGTGATTTTGGAGGTGCATCTTGTGATCGAGCGTCATCTTGCAAACCTTACACTCAGATCTATCACCGTCGGCGACTTTGGACAAATGCTTGCGTCGGAAGTGTTTGGTCAAGTCATTAGATGTGTAGAACTCATGGGTGAGTTCGTCCAACTGACCCCGGTCGTCCAAAGGTAAGTCTAGGGCCTGGCCAACACAGACAAAGCACCTCTTGGGCCGCTGCTCGCCATGAGTGATGAAAACGGATCGTACGGCGACATCCAAGCGGCTACCCTCTGGCGGATCAGAAGTAGGGTTACAGACTGCGGCCTTTGGTGCCGATTGAGGGCGAGACCGGGGTACAGGAGATCCTTCCTGCACAAGACAATATGCTGAAACGGCATTGATGGCTTCGTCCCTCCGTCGGTATTGGCCTTCCAGCGTGGCCACGATCGGGGCGGTTAACTTCGCCATCAGGTGTCTTTGTGCTGGGCCCTGAGGTCGACAGGTGTCGCCCAGTGTAGGGTGTGCAAACCCGACGCCATGGATCTGACGCTCGATGTCGTCTGTAGCTTGCTTGTCAGTCCACTCATCTCTGATCTTCTGTTTGAGTTCTCTCCGAAGCCTCTGCTTTTCGTTCCGTATCATTCGTTTAGCTTCTTTATGCTGTTGAGAGCCTTGGGGCAGTTCTCGAAGAGCCCTTGTCAGGTCCCTGATAGTCGGATGTGTGACGACTGATGCAGACTGCTCTGACGTAAGGCCAGTAGGGCGGCGCTCGGAGATGGAGTGGCCGATGCTGCAGGACTGCTTGATGAGCGCCTGTTGTGGCTTCTGACCCCGAAGGACACCCCAAAGGTCGGCTGAGATGTTCCGCCCGAGGTAGTGCCTTTGGAAAGGATCGGAGTTGCCATGTCCTAGAGCCAGATTCCGGAGGGCTTCGCTGACGTCGACTGTGGTGCAAGTTAGCATTGCTGGTCATCAAATTATCAATAACACAGACCACTCTGATCGAACGCATTGGCAGCATTGTAACGTAAGTTGTACGCTATCGTAGGATACTCGAAGCCGAGTATTTCGCCGATTCTCTGAATCCACGCCGCCATCATGCCAGAGGAGATGCGATCGTTGGAAATTTGGTAGCCCGTCAACGTCTCGATGGCCCGACGAAATATGAAAGTATTGTTCAAGTCCTCCCTCAACGGCAGTGGCAGCTCCCGCTCGCCGGGATGTATGTCCAGGTTATCAAGATGGTGCGGCGAGGTGAGGCTGGATGCGTTGAAAGCTTCATGTCGGAAGAGGACGCCCAGGAGGAAAACGTGGGGGCTTAGGAGCAAGGACGGGTCGAACATCGTCTCGGGGATGGAATATGTTTTCCTGTGACGTAAGTAAATCCTATCGGCCGCAGCAGACCGGAACGACTCACTGTTCCTTCTCTCCAAGATAGCTTTTGGTAAACTCTGGAGTAAACCGTAGGAGAAGCTTGTGTGGTCCACCGTCTGGGTCTCTGGCAAGTACGACCCTGATGTCCTTGAAGCGCAGATTCAAAGTCGCCTCTGGGCGAGAACCGGCCGGAGCAAGCAGGAGGAGAAACAGCACGGCGAGGATACGTAACTCTCCAAGTTTGAACGACTTCTTTGTCGTGCTCAGTGTCGTCTCGATCTGCTGCTTGAGGTCGTCGATCGTCATACAACGATTAGCTCGGCGCTGCTCGCTTAAGCGGTGCTTCTTTCCTAGATCTCGCAGAACCTGCAGCTGTTAGTGGGAGCGCTGGTGTCGTTCTGTGTAGGAGAAACCTGCTCTATGCATGCTACGGTTCAGTTTCTGGTTGATCTTTTTACCCACGGCTCTCTCGAAGACGAGCCGAAAGACCTTCCAGTATGTGCCCAGTGAGCTCTTTTTCTTGGTTCCGCGTTTCTTCCTACCGTCCTTGCCAACCTTCTGACTCAGGACCCAGTCGAAGAAATTGTACATGAGGCCGAGCGAGATCTTTGCGTAGCAATCTTGTGGGTCGCGCTTGAGAACACAACAGAACCTATCAATGAATAGTATCAGCAGGCTGAAGAGCGTACGAAGTCCGCGAGCACGTACTGGCGCCACTGCTCCTCCACGGCGTCGAGAAGCACCGTCGTCCCAGGGCTGTAATCCTGACAGGCGAAGGGATCCTCATTGAACGCTTCCACCCTGCTTCGCCAATACTCGGATGACTGAACGTTACTGTCGAAGAGCCTGATTTGGTCTTCAACATCCACATTGTCGTCGCCGAGATCGTCGATATCGGTGGCATCGGTGCCCGAGTCACCTTTTTGGTCCTTCGTATCGAAAACATCGTCGCCGTCATAGTCATCGCTTTCCACTTCGGCAGTGAATGACGCATCGGAATCGTAAGTGTCTACGGTCGTGCGTCGGCGTTTCGGCATGGTGAGAATTGAGGCGGCAGTGGGGAGGGAATGAGCAAGCAAGTCGGGAGAGTCTGGCTTGGAAAGCGTATGGATCGAGGAAACGGGCGCACTGGGCAGTGCAGTGCCCGTAGGTTATGTAGTGCACGAAGGTGAGCCATGGCAGGGCCCATTCTGGCGGCCACATTTGGCTGTTGGAAACTGACAAGCAAAAAAGGATCGGGGAGTCAAAAGAATCAATAAACTGGTCGTAGCCGCGTGGACAGTTCAGGAAGGTGTGGCTGAGGAACCATGGCAGGTACTCTGGGGTACATGTCGGGGACGGGCAAAGGTGAGGGTCGCTTGGCGGACACGATGCCTGAGTCTAAAGCGGCGACTGTTCCGTGGCAGATGGCCCGCTGGATTCGGCGGCAGAAGCTGTCAAAAACGGCGGCAAACTAGCCGTCTCTTAGTTTAAGGGAGTAATAATAGTAATAATAATAATAATAGTAATAATAGTAATAATAGTAGTAATAGTAGTAATAGTAATAATAGTAGTAATAGTAGAGATATAGACTAAGAGGATAAAGATATTATTTATTTATTAGCCGGTATTCTATTTTGACACTTACTTACTCCCCTCGAATCTTAAAAAACAAAATAGAAAGAAAAATGGCTACGTATCCGCGAGTAATTATCCGGCACGTCAAGGGAACAAGCTCACATAGGCACTTCTTATCAACTGGAAGGAAATTAAACACGGAGTTTCCTGTCACAGTAGCCCTCCGAGACTCGAGAAGCCGTAACATCGGGCGCTACTTATATATAGGAAGCTTCTCTTGAGAAAGCGAGAAGTAGATAATCATTGTCCCTCTACGAGACTACTGCCTCCCCAGACTCAACAGGCCACTTTGGTTCGTGGCTCTGGTGATTCGTTCACATCTGTCCCTTTCTAGAAGGACCCTATGCAGTCCTTCCACTTACACGACTTTGGCCGCCTTCCTTTCCTCATCACAACATCAACACGGAACTTTTGATAGCTAGCACTTTGGAGGGAAGTCATTGAATCGTTCAATACCTTTATATATATATTTAATTTGGCAAGTCAATACAAAATGAAGAGAAACATTCCAAGCTGTTGCCGCGAACAGCGAGAAGGTAGACGCCAAGACCATGACACAGCAATACGTCCAACCAGACGAGCAGTCCCAAAGGCTAGAGACCCATACAAGGAGTTAGCATAACGTCCATCTCGAGTCGGCCTACTGTAATTATTTATCTAATAGATATCCCCATCCCCGGCGCGACTGCCGAGAACGAAGCCAATACATATTGCGACGCTCTACGAGGCGCTCCAGTGTTTGGCCGCCTGAAAACCATTTACACCAGAACTCTTGGAATAAGGATGGCGAAACCTGAACTGCTAGACCTTGGGCTTTTGGCGTATGGAAGCACTGCCGCTAAGGTTGAAATGAGAGTCTTGACAGCTTCAGTCGTCGAGGCACACCTGTCGTTTCACACAGGCTATATGGTGTTCAACTTCTTCCCGAGTAGGCGAAAACATTCCTCAGTCACATCCGGAGCGTAACAGCCTAGTTTTTCAATATATCGCGTCATTCATGTGAGTATCGCGATGTATTGTGGTAAGGACACAGTTAGGTGACAATCTGAGGGCCTTTGTCTGCACCATTAAACCAACATAGGAAAGATGAGAAGAAACGAACGAGTGAATAGGGATCTTTGACCAAAAAAAGCAGACACCCTACCATCAAAATGAGCCCCCTTCCTAGGGTACGCATGCCATGCTGGCATCGTACTGCTAGGGAGTTACTCAACATAGAATTGACGGAAAGCAACACGCCTTGAGGACTAAAAACAGAACACCGACGCACATATCATTGTGACAGCCTGTCGTTCACCGGCCCTGCATGTATATCCATAGTCTCCTTCGTTCTCGATAGATTCCCTCCGAGCCAGGGATAATGTAAGCCGTAAATAAAGCGGGCATTGTTCTTGGTGTATCGTCGCCTCAGCGACCCCTGAGAACATGGGCGTCCTTCTCCGTTGGAGGTTCCCGATGAATGCCGTGACGTGCTGATGTTGTGTGTCGTTTCCAATAAAGCGCGTCTCGGCAGGGGTCCACTGTTCGTTGACAGCCAGGTCGATCTCTTTCGCGATGCTCGTTTTTACCAACTCCGCTATGCCCCTTGGTGCGCCTCTCTTGTGAATGGTGTAGGCATCGGCATACGTTTGTAATGTCGTAATCAGTTCGCCAAGTTCCGACCAGTCTAGAAACCTGCCGTCGCGGCCGTCGACACTGACGGCAATCACGTAGATGCCTGCCTCATTCGAGTCCTCGTCGTAGTCGTGAGGCCGGTTCGATCCGAAATCCATTGCCACAGTTCCTTTGATAATGGACCGCAAGAGATCGCGCGGTATGATGTGCAACACCTCCGTCGTTTCCCAGTCTCTGACGTGGTCGAGCCGAAGCTGCGCTATCGTACAGTCAGGTTGCTTGGGCATGCCCGCCGCAATGAGCTCGTTGGCGATATCGGGAAAGCACAGTGTCAGCTCGTAGAGCGAATCGCCGCGTTCTAGTACCTTCAACATGTCTACTCTGACACCGTCCATCAGGGGGGTCTTTGAAGAGGGGCTGTAATTTGCCATTGTGCAGAATTGTGATTTGTGGGTGTGGAAGACGTTCAGAAGGAACGTTGACGGTGTATGATGGCGAAAAGCTTTACCCGGTGTTGGGCAGGTTAACATGGGAAGGAAGAAGGTGCGTTTCGGCAAGGGGTCCCCCTTCCCGGGTAGGCAGTCACGCATATCACTTGTTTTTGCAAAAAGAGAAGGAGAAGATGGGTCCACACACTTGCCGTGATGCTGTATTGCTACATCTATTGTCTTATTTCCATGGCCACGTTGGGCCATTGTTAGGCCGTTGCCCCGTCTTCGTGTCTATCTGTCTACGCCCCTGTCAAACGTCCACCGCCTAGCCGACAGACAGAGTGTCGATTGTGAGATTCATGCGCTCGAGCAACGGTTTGGTTGTTGGGAGATTGAAGGCCCTCGGCATGCAGAGACTGGTCTGTCCATTGGACCTCACGAGGCAATTCCCAATAAGACAAAACAGCCCGCCTTCAGCCTGACGCGTAGCGTCGAAGAAGAACAATCCTTGAGGCTCCCCTGGGACCAGAGAAATGGAGTGGCTCGACCAAGCTAGGCACATGTCTGGATCGTTGTCGAGCTCGCCCAGGTCGTTGAGCAGGTCGTTGACCAGGACCAAGCGGTGTACCCAGGCACGAAAGAAGTGCCTGTCGATGAAAACCACGTCACGTGGCCTCAATTCCTCATCTGCAAGTCCGCTTGATGACCCGAGCCGGGCGTTCACCCCACGGAGCATCTCGTTGCTCCGCAGAGCCACCAGCTGTAATGCGCGCTCAGAGATTCTTATTCTCTTGTCTCTGGACATCCAGACAGGTGCTGGCTCCTTCCCCATGGCCGTCTTGGCCGCGCGGTACAAGCCGACCGCAGCCCAAAAGGCCCCTCGCGGAAAGAGTGTCTGGAACGTGTGATCCACTTCGTCTCGTAGCCCAGCTATTTCTTCCTCGATGGGCTCGCCGCGTAGCACTTCATCTTTGTGCCTTTCCAAGTCATAAGAAAACAAAGCATCGCCTTCGTGGAACGCCTGATTGATGGCGGCCATTTCGCACATTACCAATCGCACGTTGGCGGGCACAAGTCCGGTGATGGAAGACAAGAAGTGGGCTGCCGAGAGATGCCATCCGGTCAACTGTATCAGACCGACAGTGGCAGTGCTGGCGTCGGCATCTACTCTGTAATTGACGGGACTGTCAACCGTCTTGTGCAGGTACCCCAATATCAGGAGTCTCTTGATTGCCGGGTTCCAGATTCGGCCATTGGAAGCGAAGGCGCGTTGCGCCCTTGGCAAGGTCATTCCTTCCGTTGAGAGTGCGACTAAGAGAAAGGAGGCCAGGTGTTCCTCCTCGAATCTGCGGCGTGGCTTCTGGTTTAGAATCGCCCGTGGCGAAAGCAAGGCATGGACGGTGACGTTCCTTGCATCGTGTGCAAACGCGCATGCCGCCTGGGCCTTGTGTACGCTGCCCGGTGGTGATTTCCGGTGCAGAACAGACTGCAGATACTGCTCGTCCCAGATGATTGTGTTTTCAGCATCCTGTAAGATGATGTGTCGCATGCCGAGTGATGGCTCAAAGCCCTTGGCCATTCGCTGTCGTGTGACCCGAATCGAGTCCGGCGACATCATGAAGCCTCGGACGTGGGAATGAATTCTCGCATCAATGGCGCGCTTCATGTCGTTGACTTTTCCTTCGTCGGACCCGAACAATACAACTTCGCTCTGGTAGTCCGCTGCGCTACGGAGCTGCAGCATGTGGTCTGCAATCACCTTCGTTGTAATCTGCCTCGTCGACTCGTCCGTCCATTCCTCCCCCTCGTACGATTCCCATTTGATCGTTTCCAGGCTGAACTTGCGAGTCGCATACACAAGCTGGAGCGTGGTGATGGCCGAGCCGTTGTATTCGTTGAATAGTCGCATTGCACGTTTGAGCTCATCGCTGAAAGCTACAGATGCCAGCCACACAATCCGTAACATGCCTTTAGTCGGAAGCACCGATGCCAACCTCAACATGGCAACAGTAAACTCCATGCCCCAGTCCTCGTCCAAGTCGAAGATGACAAGCTGACATGCCGCCTCGTCTGGCACGACTTTTCCAACCATTTCCGTCGGATCCGCCACTATCTCAATCTTTGGATCGTTGTCCGCGTCGTTGCGCTGCCGTGCGTGCCACTGCTGAATTCGGGCCATTTCCGACACTGTCGAGGTACTGTAAAGAGCCCGGGTCGTCTTGTTGGCCGATGTTGCCGCAATTCGTCCAAGGTCGTTGACCAGTCTGGTGCTCTTGCCCGATGCGGTGGGCGCTTCAATGTAGGCAAATGCGACAGACTCGGCCGAGTCGTACCATTTCCGCATCTGCTCGTTCACGTCTTGCCACGAGCGGCAGGTCGCAGGAGGGTTGTGGTGATTGGACCCCATGTTGTTGTGTTGTTGATTTTGCATTGGTAGTTGCAAAAAGGAAGTTGCCGCCGAGTCGACGTAACGGCCAGGCTCCTTGGAATCTGGGAGCAGTGTAGATGTGACGGTGGGTCATCGGTCACACTACCTTACCCTGACCTTGGACAGATACTTCGCTACAGATTTCTTGGGATAATCTACTGTTGCATGAAACTTCCAAGAGGCCCAACCTCCATGGATGATACCAAAGTTGCAGGCTCTTTTGAGGAGATGTTTCGTGCCCCATGGTAGCTATGGAGCACGGTGAGCTCCAGCTATCCTCAACGTTCTGTGCCCTCATTCGGCTTGGAAGCGTTTGGCATACTTTCACTCTTCACTTTTCGCAAGCACACACGTTTATAAATGACTTTTTATTCATGCCCACCCCCCTCCCCTTCCAAAAAAAAAACTACCTAAACTTCCCCTCCAAAAAACCCGCCCACCCTCCTTTCATTTTATACCTAGGGTTCCTAGGTCTTCGTCGCTCCGTCAAGCCAGCTCACCCCAAGGTGCTATCAGTTGTTATAGCCGTAGTAACCTTGACCCCCCCGGGGCGGTTGTTGCTGGGGCCACGTTGGGCCACGATGTTGCTGCTGCTGCGGCTGTCCGCGAGGACCACTGTCATAGTAGTCGTCGTAGTCTCTTCCGTACTCATACGACGGCTCTTGCCGGTGTTGCTGCTGCCACGTAGGGCCAGGGCGTTGCTGCTGCTGCGGGCGTCCACGAGGGCCATCGTCATAGTCGTCATAGTCGTCATAGTCGTCGTAGTAGTCTTCGTACTCTCCTCCGTAATTGTACGATGGCTCTTGCTGTCGTTGCTGCTGGGGGCCATACGAGCCTGGGTCTCGATTCTGATAAGGAGGCGGAGGCCGCCGCTGCTGTTGTTGTTGCTGCTGTTGAGACCACGTAGGGCCAGGAGGCGCACCGGGACCGCCCCAGTTCGGGGGACGGCTGGGAGGCGCGTTGGGACCGCCCCGGTTCGGGGGACGGCTTGCGGTGTTGGCTGCAATCTCGCTCCGAACACTTGTAAAGTGTTTTCCCGCAACAACTGCGATCCGGGATCAGGGCTGGACACTTCATTGTCGGCAATGTCTGTGGTCCAATCACTCCTACAATACAGCAGAAAGTAGGTGTGACCTGGCGCGCCGACTTTCCAGTCAAGTCTGGCGTACTCGTCGGAGACTGGCGGCGGGTACGGCGAGCCGTCGCATCGGAAGACACTGATGCGGTCAGCGTCCTCCTACGAGCGTACAGCTCATCGACTCAATTGTTGCGGCAATGTCCTTTGGTGCCCCTGAAATATCGAGAAGGTCGTTTTCGTACGTGGCGTCTACTCGAACGCCTTTTTCAGGGTGCCAGATCATCTTGTCGAACAAGCCCTGATCATGCCTTGCCCAGAGGGTCGAATTCATGCGCTCCGCCTGCACGAGGTTCCGAAACTTGAGGGATTCGCATTGTGGCCCCCATTTCTTAATCATCCGTACAAAGGGGTCGCTCTTGAGGTTTTGCGGCGCATTGCGCCGTGTCCGCGTCATGAAGGGGTTGACGTCGTTGCGCCGTGACGTAGATCGTTGTTCTCTGTCCTCGGCGGGAAGCATGCTGTTGATCATCCGGACCAGGACCACCATGCAGTGGATGCCCGAGAGTTTGTCAAAGTCGTCTTGTGATGAATCCGTTGCATCCAGAGTGGGCCATGCGTTGATGAGGAAGAGACTCTGCTCTTCTGGGTCTTGAGTTGTCTTGCGAATGTCCGTTTCAATAAGTTCCATGGTGGCGTATCTGGAATGGGGGTGATGGGGACTTTGAGATTTGACTTTCCCCAGGGAGTGTGAGGAAGGTTGTTTGACAAGCTTGCGGGAGATCGACGCGGCCCGCTGCAGCCGTACCTGCCTGGGTTCGACTGTGGGTCCACCCGCCGCATCCAACTTGTTGTCCGATTTCGCAGTTTTGTTTTCTTTCCTTTTCTTTTTCCTCTTTACAATCACTTACCTTTGTTATTTGACGGTCAAACGACACAATGTCCGACCATCACCACGCACCATGGCTCCCTGAGCCCAATGTCGATACTGTTGCAGTCGTCTGCGGGCGACGAAGTGACCTGAATCGCAGGCAAAAGCGCCGCTCCTGGTTCGTCTGACTGGACCCCAGGCTCTGTGTTTTGCCAATCCATTAAAGTGATCTCCTTGTTTTGGGCAATCGGCGGGAGTCTTGCCACGTGAGCTTGATACGAGGATCCATCTGGGCTGCAATAGTCCGAAGCTGAACCCATGAACATGCCGTCGTAGCGTTCTGGTCTGGGTGCATGCCGACACCATTGCCAACAACCAAGATTCTCCCATTCTGAACCATCCAACCCTGCTCCTTAGACTTGAGCAGATCAGTCGAACCAAATCCATATGGAGAAGCAGCGCATACTAGATGATCCGGATGGCAAAACAGCTGCTAACACATGGCTGCATCAAGAACATCCATCTTTTTTACGTTGGAAGAGAAATCCCAAAGCCTTCAATCATTAGCGCATGCTTGTCCTTTCACACAGTTCAGGCGACTTGCCACTTCTACCCGGGTAGGCCAATAGCTTGTTGGAAGCTGCTTCAGTTACATTAGGAGTGTCACGGCTTGAGTAATCATCATTCGCAAGTCTCAGGCGTTCGGGTGAGGATCGCTACGTATATTTTTGATGGTATCGTTGCAAGAGGGCAAATAACAACTCAGACGCCTTGCTCGTACCAATCCAAAATCGACATAGGAAAGAGTGAGTGGACAGCGATCCTCGTCCCTATAAAACAGACACCCTGCCTCCAACGTGAGCACCGCCTCGATACACATGCAACCTTTGATGCTGTAATGCTAGACACAAAAAGTTGAAGGCGAAGTACCCAAAGTCCAATATGTTTCAGAGAGCGAAAAGCAAGGCAAACAGATTACCAACAAACAAGTAAATCCGACAGTCTGTCGTACATCGTGACCTTGCGTGTGCTCAAGTTCCTCCATCGTCATCAACAAAAACGCTGCAACTAAGGATATTTTTTCTGTATTGTTTGTTCTTTTTCGCTTTTTTTCTCTTCTGTGTTCGTTTTTTCAAGTTTTTTTTTTAAGTTTTTTTCATCTTTGGGCTCTCTGGACCTGGAAATGGCCCAGCATGAGTAACGTATGTAGAGTATGCAGGCTTTTCCTGCAGGTGATCTATCTAACCTTCACTATGGTAGCGAGGGCTTAAAACATCGTTTGAGGAAGGGTCCGCGCGTGGGGAGTATATAGTTTCCTCAAAAGGTTCTTGCACCATTACTTGCGGTAGCTGGTGCTCTCGTGATGCAGTCGGTATTCGAGAAGTAGGCCGACGAAATGTCTTGTTAGGCGTCCAGGCCGCCATGCTGGAGGCCTCTGGTATACCGAGGGGTGTTTGAGTTTGAAGCATTGGCGTAGTTGTCTCAAAACCGTTATCTGTCGACGAACCAAGTACTACTAAGTGCCCCAGTTGCTGTTGTTCATTGAGAGAGTACGCCGGGGATTTCGAGGGACCGGACGCGGCGTCTTCACGCAACGGCTGCTCGAACGAGAAGCCAAAATCAAAGTCAGCAGTGCCGAACTTGAGGACAACATCATCTTGGAGGTCGTCAGGCCCTTTAGGTGTAACAAGGTTTGTGTCATCCTGCTTCAAATTGTTGCTTGTAGATGGCTGGTGGGCGAACGATATGGAAGTCCCTGGCGTAGACTGTCGTGGCGCACCACTTGTGGAAGGAGTGAGCGCGTAGTAGCTCGGCTGCTGGCTTGGAAAGGAGTTCGTTTGCTGTTGGTAGCCGGGTTGCAAGAACTCAGATGATGTTCTCATGCGTTCAAGGTTTCTCGGTGGTACGGGAGCCGTTCCTATAGCCTTTAGTTCTAGTTCTGAATGGTTGAGTCGTAAGCACATACCCAGCGTCGCAAGGGATTCAGACAAGTTGAGAGGACACGACATTCGTTGGCGCAAAATGTTGAAGTCAATGTCGTTGAGGGTCTCTCTAGATAGACCACAGTCCGTCACCAGCCTATCAATCTGCCGCCTGCCGACGACTATGTCGAATGGCACCGGCCCAAGTACATCGTCAGGGACGACGGCGAAATTGCAGTCGCCGAGCACAGCTTCAAAACCTGGCACTCGAACGTGCACTCGGACAAATGTCTTCGTCTTAGTATAAACAAATGCGGTACACACCGTATACTCTTTTCCAGGCTGGCCCGGAATCAACTCCAAGCCAAGCCGTTTCGCGGCTGAGTAGGCAAGAAGAGTTTCTGGGCAGGCAGAATCGTAGTTAGTCTTGAGAAGCGTTCTGACAGAGGAATCTCCTCGCGGTTTGAGCTCAATACGGAAGTCTTTAAAGTTGCCGCGTTGAAAAGTTGGATTAGGCGGTATTTGCTGGGGAACTGTGTTAAGCAGCGAAGACTGGGCAGCTCTGGACTCGCCGAGGACTTGTCTTGGAGCGTCCGAAACACCAGTTCCCCTCGATCTCCCCTCAGCCCCTCCTCTCCGGTATTCAGGATGTGGTACAAGAGGGATGCGTTCTTGTTGTGAACGTAGTCTCTTTCGGTTTTCGCTTGGTCGAGGATTTCCGACACCTAGATTGGTAGTGTTGGGCTCAGTGAGCGGACGTGGAGGTGAAGAGGCTTCAGGTCTGGTAAGAGGGCGCCGCCTTTCGCTGAATAGCTCACCAGAAGCTTTGGAGTGTTTGAAATTGCCACGCATAATGTGTAGAGCTTTCTGACTCTACAAGAAGGCCCTAGTTGTAAAGGGGGTGCTGAGTAGGGTGACGTACGGGCTTACGAGCTTCATTCTGGGGGATGAGACGTTACTGAGTTATTCGGTAAGCTTGTCGTAGTGGCTTGTAGACTTCGGTGGCTTTAAAAATACAAGCAGTCATATGAAGGAGTATCTCGCTCCTAGTGGAGGAGGAGTGAGAACCCCCAAATGAAACTGCAAATGACAGAAAGTAGAGGAGGCTGGATATTGGGGAGCAGACGTCGGCAAAGCCGATCAGTAATTCAGTCAGAGCAAGGTCTATCAGGCTGAGACTTGAGAGTTCAAGTATTATGTCTATAATAAAGATTGAGATAGGCGAAGTTTGGGTCTATGAGGAAAACGTATGTCGACAACCACAGCATTCGACCCAGGTGCCTTTGGCTGCCAACACATTCAACCTTCCATGATTTTACAGATGCCTGCGAAATCCAAATCATGGCGCAATTACAAAGAACAATTACACTGCCACTGGGCCTTACTTACGCTTCAGAAGCCGAGCGGATGCCCCCCCTTCCCCATGATGTTGAGTCGATGAGCCAGCGAGCGCAGGCGGGCGGTGGGGCAGAAACCACGAAGAGTCTGGAAAGCCTAGTCCGCAGCAGAGGGATATCTGTCATCAGTGCCAAATCTAGATTCCGAAATCAGATGTGCAAATCAGGATCGGTCTCCTCACCGACTTCCAAGAGGAGAGACCGGTTCGACAGGGGGTGAGGGGAGAGGCTGAAGATGAGAGGGGCGGCTCTACCCAGAATCCTCAAGCTATCTCATGAAATAACAATGTAGGTATCTGTCTCGAAACAATTCCAGTCATGAATTCGATGTTGTAGCCTCATACGGATGCCTTAATTCTTATGACTTTTGCCAGAACACACTTGAAGGGGGGAGCTGAAGGCTGCATATGGCGGTCACTGCTGCAGCTCCAGAGGCGTGCTTCCCCCCTCACCACCATGCAACCACGATTGCTCGTTGAAGCATCCAACGCGCATCGGTGCTCCACCCACCCTCATTTTTCCGAGAATAGGTGAGCTGGCGCGTCTCATTATTGATGCCGGGCAACGCCAAAGCAGGCTCTACTGACCCCCCTGACTGTTTGAATGATTACTGGTGCCACCCCCAAAGCCCCCTCCTCTCACGACTCGTAAGAGCCGATGCAAGAACGATAGGCGCGGATAAGTGTCGCTGACCGCAATTGTAAATTCGTATGCAAAAATCTGCAGATTGTTGAAATTCCAAACAAAATTACAAAAGCTTTTCGTTGCATTCTTCTTTCCTCCCCGTGCGGGTTATCACCGCTTCAAGTCGGGGAGAATAGAATCACTATGGCGACGCAATGACTTTCGTTTCAACCACGTGAATTCTTTCTGACTCTGTCGCCTCACTATTTCTGAATAGGCAGATCTAAAGGGACTTTTTCTCAGCTATGGTGAAGAGTCCAAAATTATCCAGGGATTAGAGCATTTCTGGACATGTATAAGGGTGACTTCATCACTTCTCCAGGCCTTCTTATCTCCTGTGTTCACGAAGCAATACTTCAAGCAACCCCCGAGTGTCATCAAGGCACTAGAGCAAACGTTTGGTTCATTCGATCGTTTAAGCCCTTACCTGCGTATGAAGACATCGATCAATACAAGTCCCAACACCTACTGATCGCACTTGCGAACACTCCAATACGGGTAACGCCCTACCAGCATGACCACAGGTGTGTATACAGTCATACTGCCAGCTTCCACTAGACGCGCTATACTAACAGTCGCTGTAGTTACAAAACCTCTTGCTATTAGATCAACTTCGTCGTCGATCGCCCGGAAACCCAACGGGCTACCTCTGGGAAGCGCCAATTCCTCGAAGCATAACCTCCGTCAAGCCTCATGGCGACCAAGGCATTCACATTCACGGCCAAGACAGCCCAAAAGGTCCATATCCTCTGGCTATCTGAGCTGCCATAACACTCAGTTTTCTGAGGATGTTCAATGCAGCTATGGTTGCCCATTATCAATTGCGACTACACCCTCTACCATTTTTGATGATGGCGTAAGTCCTGAGGACGATGGACGGTCGACCGCACAGCGGGCCAACGTGAACAACAAAACTGAGAACTCAATTTTATCAGAAGCAAGAGCTTCCACCGAGAATGACCCGGAGGAGTGTCATAATGATCATCCCGCTGTCGGATCTCAACTGCCGATCACACTCAGCGGACATCAAGAGCACTCTCAGCAAAAATCACTTTCATCGAACCCATGCCCAGCTCCCATCAGCGCCGAAGACTTTAATTGGAGTTCTATTCCAGCCGTAGATGAGTTCAAGAATGATCCAGCACACGAATACTGGGAATGGAATTCAGAGACACAACAGTGGTGCCATACGGACGAGGAAGGACTTACACTTTCGTGCCCTGCTATGCTGGATTAGCTCTACTCTTTATCTTATTGCAGTAGCATCAAGATACACCACATTTGTGCAAAGCAGCGCAGCCTCCAAATTGCCATGCTTTATTGAACTAGAAGGATCTATGGATGATATCGGTACGTTCAAGGGAAAACAAGACATAAATGGGCATGTTTATGAATAGAGGACACATTAGAAATAGATGCCCACCAAGTAATGTAGTTTTAATATTCCACTGTAATTTTGGTTATTATTAATTCTGGCTCAGACTGTCCAAACAGAAGGCAACTGATCAACACAAGACTTTACGTGCAAGTGCTTTCCGAATTCGCTTCGGGATGGTGCTTGAATCTGATGGTTTAGATCCTCAAAGGATCAGCATGCACACACGTCTAGTACTGCCGGCCCCGAACTCTGTAGCAAGCAAGAAAGATAAAACAAGGTTTTAATTTTTTATCTACTTCAAATATAATGCTTTAAGCTTATAAGTTGCTGTTATCTCTCTACAATTACATTTTTGCCGCCGATTTTATGTAGCCGTGAAAAGAGTAGGTACATCAGATTTATCCCCCCCCATTAGATTTCCCATAGAAGCTGTTTTTGAAAGTATGTGCAAGAATCTTGAACAAAATATACATGGAGAATGGGCTCGAATTATTGCTATCGATGATGAATCACAGGCGGGTAGCGAGGGTGGAAATGAGATGTTGCTGATTTCCATGGGTTGAGTTCGCAGGTTAGTCGAGTCCTTCGAAAAGCCATATCTGAGACAATCGTCCGCTATTCTGAAGATAAAAATGACCTCATGAAATCATTTCCCGGCATGCGGCTTGACAGAGTCGATGTCGTCTTTGAGCTGCATCTTGTCGTGAGGTGCTCCGTGACCGTATTGTGACGCGCGTCCCAGTCTCCCATATCCTTGAGCTTCCCTAGAGCATCGAGATAATGCATCTAATTCGAAAGACGTGGGAGGTGAGGATAAATGAGCTTCCATAGGAGTGTCAGGCGAGCCGTCGATCTCGACCCGGCTCACAGATCGGGACAGTCCCGAAGCCGCGCCGGGTGGATACAGACGGCCGGTATCAGACGGCCCCACAGAATACGGACTAGGTGAACTCTGATCCAACGGCGATCCTTCATGCCGCCCGACGTCAAGATAGATCGTCGCGGGATTCTCCTTGGGAGCATCAAGTTGCATTTCTCGGGAGATGGCCTGTGTTCTGTCGACGGACCGGCGTCGCTGGCCGCAGGCTTTGCCGGCCGCGTTCGCCTTGCCGCGAAACCCTGTGCTGAGGAATATGCTGATGTTCTGCCATTCAGGAACCACATCAAGAACGGCAATGTTGGCAGTGAACCGAGAAAATTCACTTCCTCGTATGAGCGTAGTAACGAAGTGTGTAGGTTTCGATAAGCCGAACGGTGACCAATAAGGCATTGCCTTCAGGGAAGATGGCATGGGTATAAGCTGTAGACCTAGGCTGATTGCAGTTGCGGCAGAAATGTATGAATAGTCTAGAGTAGTGTAAATGGCGGATCTGGCTGTGAAGTTGGCTTCATCGTTTGCCACCGCCACCTCCACAGTGATGAGCTGTTCAGACCCATTAATGCCGAAAGGCGGTCGTTCGCAAAGTTTAGATTGGGCTTCTTGACTTCTGCATGTTCCGGCCTTGGAAATAGAAGTACTTGTGGTTGTGGATAGCAACTCGTAAGCTCCTCCTTCTGCTTCATCTAATGTTTTATGTTCCGAGTCGAAATCATCGAGTCTATTGGAGGTTGATGACATGGAACAGCAGTTTCCGAAGTGTACGCTGTGTGGGAGCATGGTAGACTTTGGCTGGCTGTGGTGGGTGTCGCGGGAAAGTAGGGCGCCACGGTATTACCACTTAGATGTCGGTTCGGTGTGTAGGATTAAACTGCCCTTCCTTCGTTGCCGAGAAACAACCGCATCTGCGTCTTCTCAAGCCAAATAGCGCGTTGACTATTTTCTATCTTGAATCTTGAAGGCTGCCGATAAAGATTTGATGCAATGAATGTTCGGAAACGTAGAGTCTTTGTACTGTACATACGCGGTTGGGGATGGTCGACGAAAAGGACGAGGAAGGCGAGATTCAAGACAGAGTGCGGCTTTGCTGGATGCAATGGGCGACCGTTGTAGGCCAAGGGCAGCGGAACATTCAAAAAAACGGACGGGAAGGCTATGCGCTAGGAAATGAGGCTTAGTTGTAATATAACCATATTCGTACCACAAAGAACCGGGTGGTTCGCGAACGAGGAGGCATCCGCTAGCTGCCTGATGTATCAGAGGCCACCCACAACCTCCACAGCTTGCAGAAGTATAAATGCTACTTGCTTGCCAGCTCATGTTTCACTCCAATCAAGAATGGTTCTATGCAGCAAGTCAGTAGTCTGGGGCTTGAGAAAGTTTGACTATAGTGCTATGGATACTCGGAGGCAGCAGAAATGATGAAATTCCAAAATCACAAAGCAGACCCCGCGATTCTAGTGCATGACTTACCACAGGGTCCTGGATAAACCCCGCATCTACTGTAGATTTGTATTGAAATTTACAAGATGCCCAGATATCCGCGATGGGGAGAGGAATAGCACGCTGGCTAACGTTGATTGCAAGGCAGGCAGGCAGGCATCGCGAAACAACGTGGCGTTTGACTGAACGCCCTACTTGAAGAGAGGATAACGGCCAATAGCTCAACAGTACCCAATCAGGATTCAGCACGTTGCTTCGCAAGGCGGACTACGGGCTGATAAACGTGGGCACTGTGTAGTCTGCATTCAAGTACTAAAAGCGATCTCTTGGTGATCTCGTATCAATCTTCCAACTTGATCGCCCTGAAAATGCATGATTACACCGAAGGCACATGCATGGTTTCTTGATCCTGCTTTGCCCGCGCACTTCTCCATCCATGAACCCCGAAGGAATTCGCCTCACCAATCTAGTCCCCAAATCCAATGGCCTACCAAGTGCGACCATAGCCGCTGGCTACGACTAGGGCCCTATTTCTCGCCTGGAACTTCCTTTTAGAATCCTGTTATTCTCACTAACCGCCTTGACGAAGGCCCGGGGTACGGATTGCATGTCGTGGTTGTTGTAGTAACACTGCTGACGTTGAGGCTACTGCTTCCAACGTCCTTCAGATGGTATTGCCGTTCTGCCTACTTATCGTACCATTCATATATAGACTTATAACTGTCCAGAAAATGCTCACTGATTTTATTTGATCTGGCGGTGCATTGTGCTTCTAATATAGCACCTGCCCATAGAAATCATTATCCTTCGCTGAAAGAGTGTGAACTTCTATCCGTAAGCTATTGCCCTGAAATTCTCTGCGGTACTTTTGCTAATAGGTGCCAGCGCTTTTGCGGCAAACCCTCAACCAGCCAGCAGTGTCCACCAGACTTACGACCAAATGAGTGGCAATGAGACTCAAAAATCGAGTAGAAATAAGGGGCTTTCAGGATCGAAGTCAGATCCAAGTCTATATTCAAGCACCAAATCGTCTAGAGGAAGCTCATCCCAAAGTCATGGCCTGTCTAGCTTGGAATCACGCCTGGCCTCAGATTCTCTGATCACCAGCACTGCTTCCGAGGGTTTGCCGGCAGGCAGGGTCCATCAAGCGATATGTTGTCGCTCTCTTGATGAATCGTACAGGTTGACTGATACAGGAGAGGGGAAAGGCGGGCAGGAGATGGACCCAGCGTTTTCCAGCCAGGATCTGCTATGGGAGGAGGAATATTCACGCAAGGGTCAAAGCCAGAGAGACTTTGAAGAAGATGAAGCACATAGATATTGGACCTGGGATCTAACGGCACAAACCTGGTGTCACGTGGAACAGTCGACAGGCGCGGTTTCTTGGGTACCACATCAGCTTGATTAGAGTTAACTTTTCTCTTGTTTTTCATTACGATTTGGGATCTTTTCTTGGTGTAGATGGATTGTTCCTTCCACAAATAGTAGACCAGTCTCATTTGCTTAGTATTCGAATAGTTTTTACGGTATCAAGAAGAAGATTGTTGTTTACAGGCCCATTTGTTCACCAGGCAGTCTGGGGATTACCGTAAACTGCATGCTGAGACTTTACAGAATGTGGAGGAACAAGAAATCGTATTGAAAATCAATGTTTGGATATCCATATGAGTGACAGATTGATCAGAGTGAGCGCGACCATCAATGGCACAGTGGCGTTTTGTAGATCAATAACTTCCCCCCCGGAGCCTACGAGATACCAAAGACAGAAGGCGAAAGAAGATGCCACAGACACAAAGATGTAGATCGTCACTCTTCTGAACGACACAGCTTCGCGAGCATATAAACCCCAAAATGGTTCTCGAACATTGCTCAATTCATCAAATCGGCAACAACGCTTAGGAATCCGCGGAACCGTATCTGTCGGTAGTGGGCCCTGATAGCGACGATTCAAGGCGAGCATCCAGGCCTTGAGAAGCCGCAGGCGAGATCGAAATTGGTTCGCAGTGGAATCAAAGGGTTTGTTAGGGTTCTTGTCAGCGATACCTGGGTCCTTCCGACAATGATAGTGTTGGTATCCCTATCACAGGGATATTGGTTGATTGGTTCGAACCGTGGGTTGACGAAGTAGGTCAATTGACTATATAATCTGCTGCGTAGGTGTAAAAGGGAGGTTCCAACCGTAGGTTGGGCAGGCTGCGATAATCGGAAGTAGGGCCGTCTGCCGTACGTCGAGGTCGAATTGGACTTCCAATCCGACAGATAGTAAATATGCTGAAACTCTTTCGGGCTAACGGGGCGTGGGCCTTCAGCTGGGCCGGCCTACCTACCTTGTTGAGAGGCTGGCTGTCGCTGCTGTACCTACCTATGGCTGCGTAAGCGGGTTTCTCTGCAATAATGGTAATCGAGGTAGGTGTGGTGTCTACGAACAATAGAAAGTGGATTCTTATTACCAACCTCTTCACTGCTGCTACATTTACAATGGCTCGCCCCAGAATCACACGACGGAACCTCCTCTTAATGGAACTGGTCAGAGCGACTGATCCTCCGCAGTAGGAGGTCTCCCAGAGTTGGGGTCGCAAGCAAGACCGGCTGTGCAAGTCATAATCAATGTGGGTATTGTAACCGGATAGGCGACGCCTAGTTCTTTGTCGAACATCTTACTCGCTTTGCCAAAGCTATCTATCTCGTCCCTTCTACTTTCGAAATGTATGTTTGTTGGGCTTATAGGCCTTAGAAGCATGGCAGTAAGACAAAGGAGATCCTCCCGACTGGAGTTGTCGAAAAACTTCCAACGGAGTCTCCGTCTAGAGCTACATACAACGTCAGCCGTCTGTCATGGTAAACCACTCGGTTAAGCATCGATGAAGGAAATGCAGCTTGAGCCATACTTAGAAAAGCACAACTGTCTTGTAGTTCTCAATAAGGACACCGGACATAAGCTCCGTCCTCTCTACCTCTAGATTCACTTGGATTGAAGTTGCACTGCTGGACGTTTCCTGACTCAGCAAAGAACCAGCTCCAGAAACAACGTTTCAACCCGCATCGACAAGCTTTCCCCAGATCGTCCCAAGGACCACTGAAACAAGTTGCCCCTGCTTCGTACCCGTCGGCAAGCGGCAAACGTCGATCTTTCCTGACATCATGGCTCTGATACCCACCTGTTGATCTGTGTTATTTCGATGTACGTGGAACTGCCTCGGTTCATTTCACAACACCATGACGGGGAAGGTTCTCCCAAGGGCACGGAATCTTGAGGCACAACCAAAGCCAGTCCGGGCCGCATGTGGTCTTTGCCATAGACCCCATCTGTGCCACTGCCTCATCACATAGTCGATTTGTCACGCGGGGATACGAATGGTGCGATAAAAATGTGTCATAAGACGAAGTGTTCTTTTCGTTTCCCCAAAGCCTATGGCCTATGATGGACGTTTATGCTGTGAGGCAATTACACAAGAAGAAACATCTTCCCGCGCCTCCTTGATCCAAACGCCAGGACTTGTTAAAACGAGGTTTGGTCGTTATCATTAAGGACGTCGTTGGAAAGCAGGATGAGAAAGGACCATCCGGAGTATCATGAAAAAGCAATAGGATCTTGCGGTGGCGTTTGTTCTCCTCCACTATCCCCTTTGTACCTGCATCAGGTATGCATTTTGGTTCGATCATGCTTTGAATGGAAAACATTTGGGTATTCGGGTTTGCACCAGGTTCGCGTTCGAGCCGTCGGTTCAGCTTACTCACGCATCTTCACGTAGTTGCTGGGGAAGATGCCGTGTCTCGTTCCGATCATGCCGGTCCTGTCGTGAATGTCAGCTTTACACCCGTAAAACAAAGAAACACCCTTTCACATACCACCAGTCAGTCTCGCTCTCGGTCTTCTTCAGCACCGTGATAACGTCGCCCTTCTTGAATCCTAGATCACCAGGCTGGTCGGCATCGAATGTGAACAGCGCAACGGCCTCGTTCTTCTTGAGCATGGCCGCCTTGCCAGTGAAGTTCGGCTTGGGAGCAGCCGGTCTACCAGGAGGACCCGTCTTCTGGTCGTTGAGGCCGTAGCTGGGCGACGGGTTGTCTCTGTAGACGTAGTCGTCATTGCCTCTTGAAGCAAATGTGTTGGAGCGTGAGACTCCAGTGTTGGAACGCGAAACTCCACCGAAACCGCCTCCAGCAGGTCTATCATAGACATCGTCCTGCCATGTGCTGGATCTCTTGGGTCCTCCAAACTCGCTGGCGCCACTATCTCCACCACCAAACACACTGCTGCGGTTGTTGTTTCCAAACTCTCGGCTGTTGTTGCCGTTCCAATCGTCCTGGCCCTGGCCCTGGTCGTAAACGGGAATGTCGTTGTACATGGAATCGTTAGCCTGACCGGTGCGGCCGGCATTAAAGGCGCGGGAGTTGAGGATGTTCATTAGGGGCGCGGCCTGGGGCGGGGAGCGGACGCTGCCGGTCAAGATCTGGGCGGCGGTGTAGCGGGTGCCGTACAGCTTCTCGTTGGCGTCGCGGCGCTCGATGATCACGGAACCCTCCAGCGAAACACCGGCGAAAAGACCCTTGGTCTTGGAGTAGGAGAATATACCGGCAACACTCTTCAGGGAAGCGGCACCGGCGGCCTCGGCGTTGCGGCCCACGGGACCAGCGGCGATGGAAACGTTTCCACCAAGCGTAAGCGAACCAGCCTGCGCGAAGGTCTTGACGGCACTCGCATCGTTCAGAATAAAGACGAAGTCGGTCAACTCAAAACCAATCTGTCCACCAAATCCCGCACCTGCCGTGCCGATAGCGCTTGGCGCACTCCATGATCCATCGGGAAGTCGCGAAACGACGAGACCGCTACCGAAGCGGCCGGAACCGAGGAAACCGGCCTTGAGGACGGTGAGAATCGCAAGACCCTAATTACACGCATTATCTGTCAGTATCGCATCGGCTTGGGGGTGGTTATCGTGAGCGGTGGGAGGCCTCTGGGCATCGAATGCGCCAAGGCAGGCGGGGGATGGCAGATCGCGGGGTGGGAAATATGGCTCACCTTCGCGTTGGCGAGGACGGAGGGAGGAATGATCTTGTCGGGGCTGAAGGCTTGACGAGGGTCGATAAACGACGTCAGGATCTTGCCGCACTTTTTGCATTCCGCTGTTATGGTTCGGTCAGCTCATCTGTTGTGACTGAACAGGATGACGGGTGCGATGGTGCAGCGGGATCACCGGCACCAGCCAAAAAATAATGGGTGGACTTACACGCCATAGACGACGGGAGCGGGTTGTGGAGGCCCATGCTGACGGTGTACCGAGGGGTCGAGAGAGAGGAATTACGATTGAGTCGGATGTTTTTTCCTCGAGATTCGGTAGGGGAGGAAGAAAGAGTGAAAAAGGTGTCGAGTGTTGGAGGTGAAGAGAGGGAAAGAAGAAAGAGAGACACGAAAAGGTGAAAGCGTGTGCCTGGGATTGCGATTAGGTATCCGTAGGTAAGTAGGTATTACGGATACGGTTTCTTGGGGATCCTTCCTCGTCCACGGTTCCCGCAGTAAGGTAGCTGCGTGCACCCACACCTCCGCGTAATTAACGATTTAGTGGGGTTGTGCCGCGATAGGTGAGGATGAGAGCCGCCGAGAGGCCTGCGCCTCTTCTAAAGTTCTTTCCTTCATCGGTTGCTATGTGCCGTGAGCTTTGCTTTGCTTTTCTCCTAGTCACATTAGGCACGTCTTGTTAATCTTATTAATCCCGTTGGGCTTGGCGGATGGAAAGTGTTCCGGGAGGAAGGAGAATGGGCATCAATTGTTGTTTTCTTTCCTGCTTCTTGCTTCTTTTTAAGCTTTCATGGCTTTTCAGCCGAACTCTCGTATCGGACGACGCAGGTTCATCAAACAAACGAAGCGCAATAATTCATCGATATCCACTCGAGCGCGTCATCTCAGCTGGTAGGAGCTTTCAAATCATGAATACTTCTTCTCGAGTGCCAGGTGACATGCCCCTTCATTATCTCCGGGCTGGGATAGCCGTAGCAAAAATTCGAGAAATCACGGACCATGGACCGGGGGAGCTTGGTGTAAGCTGGGCTCTGGCTGCCCTGGTGAGGCGGCGCAAAGGAGGCGTGACCTGGACGGAGTGAGGTAATTCGCGGGGTACTTCTGAACTTCTGTCTGTTCGGGTTCGGCGCCAGTGTGGCGCAGGCCACTGACGCGCAACCCCCACCGTCAAGGATGGCGTTCCGAGCAGCGCGCGCCCACACCAGCGGGCAGCAGCGATGGACGCCTCGGCCGCGCAGTGACCACCTGCTGCTGACGGGACTGGCAGTGGCCCACCCGGCTCCAGTTCCATCCGCGCAGTTCCAGCCTCGCCTTTGTGAGGAAAGACGCACCGGCCCCCGAAACCTCCGCCGTCATTGGTTTCGCCGCCAGAATTGACCATTTTTGCA